CACATAAAAATGGCAACAGGTTCAAATAACACTAACTGAAATCAAGTAAAATAGCCTAAATATACTGTCATGGCCAAAAATATTGGCACCCCTCCATTTCTGTCGGACAAGGCACGACCTCACCCGGAAAATTGCTGCAACCACAAATGTTCCAGCATCCTCATGTCCACCTCCCTCACTTGCACTGGCACGCCACAAAAAAGTGGAGAAACAAAAAGCGAAATCTGACAAATTCCATGAAAAAAAACATTAAATTTTCATCACATGTCAGTAACAACCTATGCAGTTCATGCATAAAAAGAAATCAAAACAAATAAGTTCAGAAATTAAGTTGTGTAATAAAATGGAATGACACAGGAAAAAATCATTGAACCCATGAAGAAAGGGAGGTGCAAAAAAGCATGGAAAGCGAAGAAGCCAGCTCAAATCTGTCAGTAATTAGAAAGCAATCCTTCCCCTTGTCAGAGCAAATTAATATCAGCTGGTTCAGTGTCAACTGATGGCCTATAAAGTGTCTCAATACCAAGGTGTCGCACAAGAAACATCTCAGGATGGGTAAAAGACCTTCGCAACCTTATTGTTGCAAAACATGCTGATGGCATTGGTTACAGAAGGATATCTAAACTCCTGAATGTTCCAGTAAGCATTGCTGGGGCCATAATCTGGGGGTGGAAACAACATCATTTCACCATAAACCGGCCATGACCAGATGCTCCTCACAAGATTTCTGACAGAGAAGTGAAAGGAATTATCAGAAGAGTTGTCCAAGAGCCAAGGATCAATGGTGGAGAGCCTCAGAAAGACCTGGAATTAGCAGGACCAGTTTGTTTCAAAGAAAACCATAAGTAATGCACTCAACCACCATGGCCTGTATACACGCTCACAATGCCAGAATATATTACTGAAGAAAAAGCATGTTGAAGCATGTATAAAGTTTGCTGCACAACATTTAGACAAGCCTGTGAAATACTGGGAAAACTTAGTCTGGTCAGATTAGACCAAAATTGAACTGGTTTTGGATGCCATAATACACACTATGTTTGGAGGTCAAATGCCACGGCACATCACCCGAAAACACCACACCAACAATGAAGTTTGGAGGTGGGAACATCATGGTGTGGGGCTGTTTTTCAGCATACGGTACTTGCAAACTTCATGTCGTTGAAGGAAGGATGAATGAAAAAAATCTACCAAAACATTCTTGATAAAAATATGCTGCCATCTACCAGGATGATGAAGATGAAACGAGGGTGGACATTTCAGCAAGACAATGATCCCAAACACAAAGCCAAGGAAACTCTCAATTGGTTTCAAAGAAAGGAAAATAAAGCTGCTAGAATAATCCAGCCAATCACCTGACTTGAATCCAATAGAAAATCTATAGAAAGAATTAAAGATCAGAGTTCATACAAGAGGCCCACGTAACCTTCAAGATTTGTAGACAGTGTAGAAGAAAGGGGCCAAAATCACACCTGAGCAATGCATGCGACTAATTTCTCCATACAGGAGGCGCCTTTAAACTGTCATTACCAACAAAGGATTTTGTTCGAAGTATTTAAATAAATTTCGGTTAGTGTGTTCAATACTTTTTCCCCTGTGTCATTCCATTTTATTACACATAACTTAATTTCTGAACTTAATTGTTTAGGTTTCTTTGTATGTATAGATTGCATGGGTTGTTACTGACGTGGTGAAAATTTAATGTCAATAGTACCTTTAGAAATATATTTACCAAGAAAAATGGTGATGTGTTTAATATTTGTTTTACCCGCTGCACATTTGCTTGTGTGTTTCAGCAGCCCTAAAGCCTAAAGTAGTTCTAAAGGTAGAAGGTTTGTATTCTAGGCATGAAAGTAAAAAAAACCTTCTGGTTGCAGTGCCTCCCTAATACTTGCCTTGCTCCATTAGTATGCATGTCCATTCACAGTACCATGGCTCTCCTATTGGGGCACTGGGCTGGGGGGAGGAGCCAGGACAGCCTACAGGGGACCCAAAAATAAGAGGATCAGGGCTGCTGTGTGTAAAACCATTGCGCAGAGCAGGTAAGTATAACATTGTGATTTTTTTTATTTTTTTTTTAACCACTTCATGTCCGGACACTTTCACCCCCTTCCTGTCCAGGACAATTTTTAGCTTTCAGTGCTATCACACTTTGAATGATAATTGCGCGGTCATGTAACACTGTACCCACATGAATTTTGTTAGCATTTTTTGAGACCGATAAAGCTTTATTTTGGTGGTATTTATTTATCACTGGGATTTTTATTTTTTTTTTATTTTGCTTTGTAAATGAAAATGTCCACAAATTTAGAAAAAAAGTGTTTTGCTTATAAAATTTTGCAAATAATATTTCAACATAAATCTTGGCCAAAATTTATTCCGTTATCTTTTTAGTAAAAAAAAAAATAACCCAAATTAGTTTATAACCAAAAATTGTAATTTTTAACCTTTTTTTTTTTTTTTTACATTTTTATTTTATTTTTTTATATTATTATGTATGGTGTTGTTTTTTTTGTTTTTTTTACATACTGTCACCCTAGCAGTACAGTGTCAGCAAGGTGACTACTTGTGGGGGGTGATGAAGATTTTTTTTTTTTTACACTGATTGCTTTTACACCCACAAAGGCTGTAAAAGCAATAATTTCTCCTCTCTGGCTGCATTCTTGCAACCATTGAGAACTACTGTGTGAGCTCTGATTGGTCACAACTTGTCACATGGTACAAGGCTGTTGTGAATAGCCTTGTACCATGTGACCTCTGTGATCATTCACAGATTTCACGCTTAGTAAGCAATGATGTCAGAAGTGACATCTTGCTTACTACTTTGCATGTGATCACTGATTGGCCAATCAGTGAGTGATCACATGATCGGGACCTCACACAGAGGTACGCGGTGTTGCGTGCTCCCAGGGAGCGTGCACAAGCATGGGGCGGGGAGGTCATTTATAAACAGCCACCCGACCCTGCCCTGCCACCGTCCGGCCTTTTATATACAACGGCCGGACGGGAGATGGTTAAAAGACAACCTTTACAATCACTTATTTTGCTGCAGTCATAGTGCTGGAGAAGAATCTGCAGGAGTCTATCATTGCTCTCATGATCTGGTTGCGGTTGCAGTGCTTTGCTGGGGGTGATTTTGTAGAAACAAAAAATTTTACTTTTTAAATTTCCAATGATTTGTATTGTTTTTCCAAGAAAGTACAGAAACTTCCTGGGAACATATGGGATGAAGAAAACATAAATTCAACAGCATACACACAAGCACATTGCGGTGTAAAAGACAAAGAAAAACACAACGATAAAATTCCTGAGTATTATGAAAAATCCAATATATCGGTGCATACCTCCAACATTCTTGATAAAACTAGTTGAATATACGAGGAGAAGAAACAAACAAACTAGTTACTTCTCTGCCATGCCCAAGGAAAAGCTACTTTATTCTAGTTGCGCCCCGCATGGTTCTGATGGCTTGCATCAGGTCCTCCTCCTGAACACCCCTACTATATCTCCTGTTGCTCACCATGGAGCCAAATTTTATTAATGTGCCTTATAGAGCAGGTAGTGTAAAGAGATCATCCCCTAAAGAAAGGGGGAAAACTTTTTTTTAAACCAAAAAGAACTAAAAAAATTAAGAGAGAAGAGAAAGGAGAAGGGTGCACCCTCATCCATGGCTAGGAGTAAGGGATCTCTGCAGGTCACTGGGAGTCCTTGAAGTATCTGATCCATGGATCCCATGTTTTCTCAAAGAGGGCCAGTTTGTCATGAAGGATCGCTGACAGGCATTCATTTGTCATGATCCATGTCAACTTGCCCTTCAAAAAGATAAAATGAGATCATAGGAGACTAGGGAGAGGCATCTGGAACACAGGATGCTATTCTCATAGGTACCATATACTATCTTAAAAAGACTTTATAATTCCCTCTATTAATGATGTATTGATAAAAGACTTAGAGGCATATTGGGCTAATTTTCCCCATTCTGCGATGTCCATTGTCTCACCAAGGTCTTGTTCTCATTTTTTCAAGTAAGGCAATTTGGAAGAATTGGAGTGTAGCAAAGTGTAGATTTTAGAAATCAATCGGTTACACTTGTCGTAATTCTTGCATAAATGTTCCATTGGAGTGGAAATGGTCAAGTCACCCGCTCGCTTTAGGGTTGCCAAAAAGTGTGCTATTTGAGTTTATCGATTTTATATTTGTTGATGGGAGCTAATGTTGGTTCAATAAACATTGCTTCAACACAGCCCCCTTATGGTCACATAAATCTGCAATTCAGAGGAAGCCCTTGTTGGTTCACCATTCAAAAGTATGCAAGTTGAGTTCCGGGGCATATGCAGGATTCCCAGCAAAGGATCCATAGGTGTGTGAGGAATTTGAAAACCATGTTGGATTGTCTGTCTATCCCAAAGGTTGAAAGCAAACAAAATCGGGCACAGTATAGCCGATTTTTGATTTTAGGAGTATATAGCGTGCGTTTTATTTACCTTATGGTTTTTTGTCTCCCCACACAAACATCAGCAATTTCTTTTAAAAAAAGAGTCAGGTCGGACAGGTTCATTCGCAATTGGTAGGGCTCTAAACTGGTACAAAATCCTGGGTAAAATATTTATTTTAATGGAATGCAACCTGCCGAATCAAGAAGGGTGGATTGGATGCCCATCTATCGAAGTCCCCTGATTCTTTTCTATACAGAGGGGGATAATTTTTCCGGTACAGGGTTTCTAAAGAGGGGGGCAGTTCAATGCCCAAGTAGGGGAGAGTGTCAGATTGCCATTTGAAAGGAAAAGTCTGTTGTAAAGTTTCCACAGTGCGGACATCAAGGGTCAGGTTGAGTGGTAACCACTTGACTCTAAGGGCTGAAATTAAGGTGAAGGTCTGCAAATTCGAATACAAATTGGGAATTGATGTGATGAGTGAAGTAACAGTAAGAGGTCGTCTGCAAATAAAGCACATTTATGTATCCTGTCTCCACAGGGGATGCCCTGAATATTAGGATTATTTCAAAGCTTAATGGCTTGCGGTTCAAGGGCTAATATAAACAGAATAGGAGATAGGGCACTTCCCTGTTGGGCGCCCCTGCAGATAGTGATGTTTTCTGAACTATATCCCTTGACTGACAGGCGAGCCATTGGTTCACTATGTAAGATACGGAGTACTTTAAGAAAGTGTGGTCCAAAACCATAGCGTTGCAAAACGTTAAAAATATATTTCCATGATAGGGAGTCAGAAGCCTTGTGCAAATCAAGGGATAATAGCATTTATAGTGTCTTTTATATTGTTACGTTTCAGCCCTGCAATCTAATTTGGATCTATAAGGCATCTTACCTGGTTGAGAGCCTGCCTGTTGGGAACAAATCCCACCTGATCAGGATGGATTTATTGAGAAAGAAAAGTGTTCAACCTGTTTGCTGATATTTTAGTCAGTATTTTGAGGTCTACATTTATGTTTAAGTGAGGTTGCGCAAGCACTGTGATCTTTGCCCAGTTTTGGTATTAAATGTATAAAGGCGTTGTTTTCAAATCAATGTATGGGGTTACCCTGTCTGATATCATTAAAAAAAAAAAAACACACAAAGTGAGGGGTCAGGATCTCCATGCATTTCCTGTAGTAGTGGCCTGAAAACACAGCTGGAGCTGGGGCCTTTGAAGGGTTGATAGATTTTATTGCTTTAGTCACTTCAGCCTCAGTAAATTCCTTTTCTAAGTTCCGGGTGGTCTTGAGTTACCTGTGGAAGGGGAAGATCATGAAAACAGTCATTGGTCTGGGAAGTAGACCGCTGCGTTGGGGGAGCATAAAGTTTTGGATAAGTCTAAAAAAATTCTCGCAAGATTAGCTGAGGATTTTGGTAAGGCAGGTAGACGCAGTTTTGGTAAGGCAGGAGCATATGATCACGGCACCAATTTTCTTGCCAACAATGTATTAGGTTTGTCCCCATAGTATAACTGTGGCGTTTGGACCAACGCATAGATTTCTCTGCCTTGGTGGTCAAGCTTTGCGTGCTGTCTCTATTTTGGGTCTAAGATCCAAATGAGGGGATGATTTTTGTTCTCGCAAGATTTTTTGAGGTTAGACTCTTGTTCACTAATGGTTAGCTCGTGATTCCGCTTGGTTCGCGATGCGATTTGGATTAATTTGCCCCGAATGGTAGCTTTGTGGGCTGCCCAATTAGTTGACTGGGAAGTATCAGTGGATACGTTTTCACTAAAATATTGGCAAAGTGCAGTTTTGACTTCATGCAACACAGTGGGATCGTTAAGTAAAGAGGCGTTAGAGTGCCATGTGGAGGGTCTAGGCTTAGTCCACAACTCATCCACAGTCATTTGGACTGGGGAATGATTGGACCAAGAAGTAGTTTAAAATTTGTGCGGATGTGACAAATGGGAGTAATGGGGACAAAGTAAATAGAAGGTCAATTCTGAAGTAGGTTTTGTGAACATGTGAATAAAAGGTATAATACTTGGCTGTGGGGTGAGTATCTCTTCAGACATCAACCAGGTTGTAGGTCTGTAGTAAGCAGGTTAATTTTCTGCTTTGTCTGGGAGTATGCTTTTAGTATTGTCTTAAGGGAGTTTATCCAAAATTTGGTCCAAGGGAGTGTTGCTATCTCCTCCCAGGAAAACTTGACCTGCTACATGAGGCATCAAGACTGCAAGCATATCTCGAAAAAAGGCAATCTGACCAGTATTGGGAGCATTATAAGAGATGAAAGTAACCATGTTCAATAAATTTCCCTCTCAACATAATGTACCTCCCTTCCTTATCCTGTATAACCTTAGTGGGAGTAAACTGTACTCTTTTAGCTAAGCATATGGCCACACCTCTCTTTTTTGTCTGGGCTATTTCATAAGTGGAAGGTGGGATATTTAGTGTTGAGATATATAGGGGGGAAGCCCATGAGAAATGTATCTCTTGGAGTAAGAGAACATCAATCCCCAGTTTATGATAATATTGGAAGACCAGGGTTCGTTTTGCTGGAGAAATGAGGCCTGTACATTATGGGTCTAAACTTTGAATTTAGAAGGGAGTTCTGTGAGGCATATTTGGTTCGACAGCTTGTACTCCTCTGTTATTAAGGGCTCCACTGGACCCCCACTGAGGGAACCAACCATTTCCTGGGATCAGCAGTCAGAGAGATGAGAGCGCCAAATATATAGGATAAAAGCTAGAGAAGGGGAAAGAATAGAAGCATCAAACACAAGAAACATTACAGTTAACGCCCGCTTGTACACAGGTGTGACAAATGGAAGTATAACATTGCATATCAATTTAAAGAAAACTGTAACAAGTTGGGGGAACCAGTGCCTTTTTCGAATGTAAAGTTGCCACCATCCCATGAGTGAGGCAAAGTCACTTAGAGTGGCATGTGGTTCCGCCCTGAACCTTTTATTTTCTAGTAGGATCCTCTCCTAAAAGGAAGAAGTTGGGATGAGGAGGGTCAGACCTGTGAACCCAAAAAAACATATCACACAGTTTATCTATAACCTTAATCAATATGGGGTATTGTAGCTATGAATCTGAGGTCCAGAGCAAGAGTCTGGCTAATGCAATCTGCAAACCTATAGTGGTGAGGGGAGTTAGGGGAGGGAAAAAAAAAAAGGGGGGGGGGGGGGGTTGAAAGATGGGAGTTGACCATTCGAGTAAATGTCCAGGGCTCGTGATCCAAGTGCAAACAAAAGAGGGCAGGGGGGAGAGTCTGCAAAATGGGTTTGTAGTATCCATCAAGTGTTCAGATCAAAAAGGATAAGGGTGCCAGAGGCACAAATGAACACCCCCATGAGGACTTTCATGCAGCAACCATAATACATGTACATAAAAGGACTTGTTAAAAAATATATACTTTATTCCATTAACATCCTTCTAAAAGATACACAATTGTTTAAATCACATTAGCTCTGACAATATTGTAATGAGCTTTTATCACACAATAAACTTGGACAATACTAACAAACTATTTTCCTCCTAACTATGAAGAAAAACTCCCAAGAGAAAGGAGACCACCCCGATGCTTTTTGATCACTCCATTTTGGATCTTCTTCAGGGGGCATAGACATAGAAGGAATTTCTAATAAAGATACAAAAGCGAATAATATACACAAAATAGTGAATGAGAAATATTTAAACCAATTACCATAATAATACTTACAGAATAGCTATTTTAAAAGAGCATTGATGAGAGCAATTCTAAATGGTATCCAGGGTGGGATTGTGCAATCCAAAGCCTCAAGGGTTTGAACTCCCCAAAAGAGTGAGAGTCGTCAAATATGCATCCTAAAGCTGACAGAACCTCAGAAACACTGAACCACCCTCGATATTCCTCTAGGCACATCATAAGGACAAAACTGACCATTTCAGGGCTTGGTGAATGAGCACAGAAGGCTGAGATACTTGTTCCTTTTATGATAAAGACATCCCAGGTCTCATAAGGTTGCAAAATTGAAAATGTGGTTTGGTCTAAAATGGAAATCAAAAGGTATAGAATGTATATTGGCACCTGCCCAAAGAAAGGGTCACTATTGCAACTATCCAACATGCTTACTGTGATGTAGATAGATATGTAGAGGTGTTACAAATAAGAAATATCTGCGACCAAGCAACTATGAAAGAATACTTCTCTCCGCCAAAGAGAGACTTTTAAAAAAGCTTGTTGTGCTCATCAAACTGACCGGACCACATAGCCGACAGTCCTCCAAATAGAAAGCCAGACCAACCATAGCTATGCATCCAATATATATAGGACTCAGTTCAAGATAATTATCTAATCAAGAAGTGATCCAGTGAACCTATGCTGCCAGCGAAAGGAGGGGGTGGAATACTGCCAAAGGTGCCAAAAATTGGCGCTCCTATGTGGCCACTCCGGCGTCTGTGAGGGAGCATGGCTCCCACTGGCGTCCACCTCGGACACCCCCCCCCCCCCTCACAAAACACGTGACGTCACCTCGCCTGTGCCCAGCGCGTAACCACGCCCGGCAACGCTATCGTCTTGGGCTGTCCTAAGGCACCACCGACACAGGAAAAATTCTCCCTGCAGGCCTTGGATGAGACGATCCACATCCAACACCACAGGGGGAATGTGGATGGTCCACAGAAAGCCTCCACATGAAACCAGCCACATCCCGTGCTGGACACTCAAGAGGGAAGAGCTACCCACAAGAACAAGGCCAACAATCCCACCCTGGAGACCATCCATAAAAAGAACAACAAAAATTATCTAAAAAGATGAATATAACATAAATCAACTATATTGCAATTACTGCCGAAAATATATATAAACAGTAATAATAATAATGTTAGTGCACATCCCCTACATAGCAGCTTAACTCAGGCCAATATCAAAACATCAATTATTCCTTGTATTACAAAAATGAGTGAGTCCAAGGATTATGGGCAGCTGAAAAATAAAACTCTATGGAGATAAGAGAATATTTAATCTGTTTTACCAGAAGTGAATCCCTTTCAAAAAAGTGCAAAAGGATATACCGTATTTTTCGCTCCATAAGACGCACCTGACCATAAGACGCACCTAGGTTTTAGAGGGGAAAAACAAGAAAAAAAAATATTCTGAACCAATGGACTGCAGACACAGTACAGGGGATGACCAGAGATTGCGGACACAGTACAGGGGATGACCAGAGACTGCGGACACAGTACAGGGGATGACCAGAGACTGCGGACACAGTACAGGGACCAGAGATGACCAGAGACTGCGGACACAGTGCAGGAGATGACCAGAGACTGCGGACACAGTGCAGGAGATGACCAGAGACTGCGGACACAGTGCAGGAGATGACCAGAGACTGCGGACACAGTGCAGGAGATGACCAGAGACTGCGGACACAGTGCAGGAGATGACCAGAGACTGCGGACACAGTGCAGGAGATGACCAGAGACTGCGGACCACTGCGGACACAGTGCAGGAGATGACCAGAGACTGCGCAGACAGAGACAGTGCAGGAGATGACCAGAGACTGCGGACACAGTGCAGGAGAGATGACCAGAGACTGCGGACACAGTGCAGGAGATGACCAGAAGACAGAGACTGCGGACACACAGTGCAGGAGATGACCAGAGACTGCGGGACACAGTGCAGGAGATGACCAGAGACTGCGGACACAGTGCAGGAGATGACCAGAGACTGCGGACACAGTGCAGGAGATGACCAGAGACTGCGGACACAGTGCAGGAGATGACCAGTGAGACTGCGGACAGTGCAGGGCATGACCTGAGACTGCAGACAGTGCAGGGAATGACCAGAGACTGCTGACCTTTGGGGAGGGAGGGGGAGCGGGTACCTGAATTTGACAGGTACCCGCTCCCACTTCCGCGGAGTTGTCCTTCCTTCCTTCTTCCCGGGCCGGCTTCTGTGACAGCCGGGTGCCCACTGCGCATGCACGAGAAGCGCTACGCTTTGTGAATGGCCTGGCGCCTTCTGGGACCTGTCATGTGTCCCAGAAGACACCGGATCATTCACAAAGCGCAGCACATGCGCAGTGGGCACCCGGCTGTCACAGAAGCCAGCGCGGGAAGACTGTGCAGCGCTGGAGCGAGGAACAGGTAAGGCCCTGCAGGAGAGCACAGCTGAGCGGCCGGCCCAGTATTCTGACATGGTGGTGGCAGAAATACCGGACCGGCCGCTTTATTTTCGCTCCATAAGACGCACTGACATTTTCCCCCCTTTTTTGGGGGGAAAAAAGTGCGTCTTATGGAGCGAAAAATACGGTAGCTTCTTTCTGGCGTGGGGGAATTGTGGCCTGCAGCTTATATATCCATTTTTGTTCCAACTGGAGGAGATTTTTTTATTCCAATCTCCTCCACGGTTAGGAATATGTACTCTATCCAGGGCAATAAATTTGACTTTGGGGACTCTGTAATTATGAACCAAAGCTGCATGTCTGCCAATAGGAAGATATCGATTACCTATTTGCGGCGCCAAAATAATTATTTGGTATTGCCAATATAAAAAGTGCCGCATTCACACGACATGAGGCAAACCACCCCTCTAGTCTGACAGTTGGCAAAATGTTTGAGTGCATACTGAGTTCCATTTGGTAATAGGATCATTTTTTTTTCTTGTCCACCAAGGGACAATACAAACAATTCCTTTCTACTTTTTGGGCAAAATAGTGGAAGTGAAGCTGTTTGCTGCCATTCATTTCTGCTTAGTAGTGGATTCCTATAAATAAAGATTGTGACTGAGTGCTAGGGCAATATGTGAGGTAGCTCTGTGTCTTTGGTGTTGATTATCAAGATTTAGTGAGATTTTTAGTTTAGTAAACGTAGGCAAGTGGCTTTATCAGTAATCCATTGACTATTTCAGATGTAGTTATCTTGAATAAAACTTCTCAAAGTGACGGATTTGAGTTTCTAGAATATCTGCATTACACATTAGTGCTTGCACATGAAGGTAACATGAAGCCACCAGATTGAATGCTTGCTTGTATCACTAGAGTGCATGTTAATATGATGGATGACCTACCTGTGGTGTTGACTCTCTGGCAAACATTAGGAATCCACCTAACAGCTTCTTTTTGTCTTCTGACACCCATAACTCATTGCCTAGTGATCATTTTATTTGTATGGGTTCTATACATGCCAATTTACAGAGATTACAGAATTGTGAAGATCTTAAATTGAACTCTTATTTGCAGATTGTTCTGTTATTTGCAATGTACATGTTGAACCACTCTTACCGTAGCTGTCCGATTTATGGTCATTTTGGGGTCTATTTGGGTCTTGATTGCCAGATGGCTGTACTGAAAACCTGGCAGCATTTTTGCTTATTCTGGCATTTTTTTTTGAATGTCAGAATACATATACATATCTCAAAAGTAGTGACCACAGGAAACTCCCAGAATAGATCAGTGTGTTTCATAATCCCAGAGTCACCGTTCTTGAGGCCAAATAGATAAAGTGGAGGAATCCAACTTGCCTTTGCTTTTCTCAGCAGACAGCTGGTATGTGTTGAGTAAAATGTGAGGACAGCATGATACCAGCTGCTTTGCTCTTGTCATTGCTCCTGTTTTGCTGCACAATGATTTATTACTGGGTTGGACATAATAAAGCTTGCACAATGTTGCCTGAAAAAAGCTAAAGCCATACATTAAGCTTCTTTTTTTTTTTTTTTTTTTTTTGTTCAGCGAATTGAATGAAAAAAATGATCCAGTTCCCCCATGTACACATTTGAGGTGGATGGGGGAATCCTTTTCGCTGTGCTGTTGTGTTTTGACAGCGGGGAGACTTTTCCATTGTCAAAATACACTGACCAGTGTTGCTGAATATAGCTGGTGGCACTGATCAGGGAAAACCCGAAAGATTGGTTTTACAGAAGTTTAACTTTTGTTCGACAATCCTGCCCATACATGGAACAAAATTTTGGCCAGTCCCTGTTGAACCTACCAAATTTGCGATCCATGTATGCCTGGTTTTAGTGAACTCTTCTGAGACCAATTCCTCACTTGGCATATTGAATAGACCAATACAAGCTGCACAGTCTTTAGTAAGTCCAATCATAAACAACTGCAGCAACTTAAGACATTTTAGATTGTAAAAAAAAAAAAGTGTTTTTTTTGGTTTTTTTTTTTGTTTTTACTTTTTAGAAATACTATATATTTGCTTTGCCCTGACTGCTTACATTTAGTAAATCTATATTTCTTTTAAAGTGTTTGTAAAGGCTGAAGGTTTTTTTTTACCTTCATGCATTCAATGCATGAAGCTCAAAAACCTTCCATGTGCAGCACCCTACCCCCCCCGGTACCTGCCCCCGATCCCAATCCAGCAATGTGAGAAAGCAGCGGGAGCCATTGGGGGACACACAGGCAGCTCGGGAGTGAGACTGCATGAGTGCCCCTAGAGCCAGCAGATTTCTCTGGGTGCACACAGGAGAAGGGTGCCTGGAGCTTCAGTGGGGAATCCGAGAAGAGGAGGATCGATTTAAAAAAAAAAAAAAGTTGCATAAGTACCTCTTATGTTGACAGTCACATCAAAACAAATTTTCACACATTTTGGTAGATCACAAATTTGGGAGAGAAGTTTATTTCCATTGAGCTACTAATAATGAACAGAAGTGTCTGTGTGTAAATCTTTCGCCAGGTTATCAGAGATAAATATATCAGAGATAAGAGTGAGTATGGGTGGAGGCTATATCTGGCCTTTACTGACTGATTGACAGTTGGCTTTTTAGCAGCATTGAAGATTTAGTTGGCTTGAAACAAATGTTTGTGTTTAGAGACATACTTCTAAAGACTGTAATAGCTCACGTGCATCGGGAACAGTGATGCCAAGGTGAAGCCTCTTTGTAGCTAACAAACATTGGCATGTGCTTGACAACCTCTAATTAACTCTGAGGATCAAGTCCTATTTGCAGTGCAGTTCAGCAGAAATGGCCTGCACAGAGGTGCTCTTTTGTCTGCTAAAGTGGTGTATGTTTGGTTTTTTTTTTTGTTTTGTTTTTTGTTGTTTTACAGCTTTGTCATGCACTCTGTAAACCTTACTGGTTTGTGTTCAACATAGAACTACTTTTATATGCACAAAAAAAATGCAGCCAAGTGCATCTGTGATACCACAGTTAAGGGATCAAGTAGGCTTGTGAATACATACATTAGGATGTGTCTTTGGGCATAGGACGTTACAGTAAACCCAAGTCTTAATGTAGACAGAATACAGTTTAGAAATTGTAGTGTAGATATAAGGCAAAACCTGAATGTCCTATGAGGGCTATTTAAAATTTCTATTCTTACAGTGGGAAAGCAGGCTATGCAAATCTTTTCCCAGCATCAATTTAGACAACACATCTATGTCACTTCTTTCATCTTCATTACATTGATGATTAGTTCATGTCAGCCAGCTGTCTGGGCTTATACAGGAGAGATGAGAGGAGCCAGTCAGAAGAGGGAACAAATGTGCTGTCATCTCTCACTGTGCCTTTTACAGCGAGAAAAGTATCTAAAAGGATCATGAGAGCTTGCTTTTTCTTGGTTCAGAGGTGCCAAACACAGCAGTTAGGCTGCCAATACACTATCGAAGTTTTGATCAGTGTGTGGGCGCCCCCATTCGACAGAAGTCAATTGTTCAATTTCTGTTGAAAGGAAGTGTTGTCAATTTTTCTCTTAATCTGCTGCAGCCACTGATCATTATATCTTGATGGGAATGAAGTGTGTGTGTGTTAAACTGCAAGTTGTGGTTTTTTTTGTTTTTGTTTTTTTTTTTTTTTTGGGGGGGGGGGGGTTCTCCATCCATCCATCCTACTGGCTGAGATTGAAAAAAACTTACCTTGTATGGCCAGATTTCATCGTGCATCCACATAGATTAAAACTGCTAACATCAGAAATTCAGTAAGGCCTAAGGGGTCATGTAACCTTAGGATAGAATACAGTTTTTTTGTATAAAAAATATTAATGTAAACATCTGGTACCTTTTTTAAACAATAGGCTTGCGTGTGTATGTATAATATATATATATATATATATATATATATATATATATTTCTGCCTGCATGTACCGGAGCGTGTGCAGAGTACCCCATGGGCCTCAATACCTCAGTTGCTCTTATTACACAAGTCCAGCCAGATCTTTCATGTGTACACCATATGCTGGAATAAATCCAGTATGAGTTGTCCAATTTAATTTACATATGAACAGATCTAAGAATCCTAATTTCACACAGTAGACCCGCACAAGTCATGGCACATTCATTCACAGTTGCTGTTTACTTTGTAAATTAGGTGTAATTGTTATGTTTTCTGCTACTGTCTGGACAGTTCTGGGCTGTCTGCATAATGATTTAAAAAATGAAAAAGGTAGACAGACTTTAGAATAATGCATATGTAGCATGCGTGAATGAGGGCTGCTTTCATAGGTTCACTTTGAAGTTTGGAAGCCTTTCAGGGTTTCAGGTTTGTTTAAGCTTGTTATTCTGTTTAATGAAAATCGTATCATTGCTCCTAGCTTTTTCACTCACAGAATCTCTACTTTATCCTGAGATATGTTATACTATATTTACAGTTTGACACAGCTCCTTGTAAACCTACTTCTGTTAAGCCCTTTATAATTGCAAAAGCTATTAAACTTGATGGAGTGCATCCTTGCTTGCCACATACATGTTGACTTAGTCATGTTGGGAGTTTGGGCATCTTGTGGAGAGCTTGTGTGGTGATTTTCACTTTGTTTATGCGACATTTCACCTCTTACAACATCACATTTTGTCATAAAG